CAGAAGTTCCCAAAAAATTTCCAAAATTCCCAAATTTTTATTAATCTACTATGAAGTTCTCTGAACATTTACGAGAAACATCTATAAATACACCCAAAGAAATTTCAAACAGAATTCCATTCGTGTTTCAAACCCACTCAGAAATAAAACAGAATATTCGAACAGCTGCAAATCTGGTGCCAAATAGTGCTCGAATAGTGAAACTGCAACTCAGCATTGCAAAGGGTGCGTTTCTGTTCTAATTTTAAATTGATCCAGTCCATATAAAACACAACAGCATTGCGGACGGCCTAAGGCTGAGCTATATTGTTAATACAGTATATTTGGTGTATTGATGTACCCACCGGCACCGAGGGGTGCTTGTATGGAATTTATGTTGCATTGGATTGTAATTCTAAGTTTTACATTTTAGATATCTTTGGTCATCTTTATCGACGGTCCAACTGGCTTATTTGATCCTAACTTAAGGAACAGATCCAAACCGAGCCGGTGTTCTAAATTTTGTTTTATATTAGTTCTAAAATGTATTTTGTGAAACCCGCATAATTCTTGGTCTAATTTCAACTGATTTTAAGCCAGGCAAACCACTTTGATAGCTGCAAGAAGTGACACGAGTGACGCACAAGTTTTTTTTAGGTTTTGTTTTGCTCTCGGTATTGGAGTCGTTCCTCCAAAATTGAAAAGCTATTGGCAGATCACGGTCGAGAAAAACAACAATTGCCCACAGTGCAGATTCCGGCTACGAAAACGGTTCCACTGGAAGCTATTGGGAACTGATTACTGTTACATTGGATGTATTTCTGCACGGTATCGAGTCAGAATAGAATATTAGTAGTAGCAGCAGCAGCAGCTGGTTACTGCGATCGAAGGATTTCACTTCACACTTCAAGTCACTCAAACGACGCTGAGGTATGACAACCAGTGGAAGAAAATTCTTCTCCGGATGATAGTTGAGCAGTTTCTCCGACTGGCTTACTACGACACATTTCCAGTGAAATTCGCGTTATCTCCAATCAACCACGAGGTTGATCGATAGGGTAGGATGGTTCAAAACACACCCCTGGGGAAAAATGGCCCTACGCTGTTTTTCATAGTTTTCCGATTGTAAATTCGTGAATTTAACAATCAGCATTGCTAGTTCAGTGCTTGAACTAACATTCTGGCACATGATATTTCCAGAATTAGTAATGGGAAAGCAACGAAAAACTGCACGGGGCCATTTTACCCCAGGGGTGCATTATGGGCTGTTCTCCCCTACCTGGCTAACGATAGCAAATCGAAGGTGAAAAGCAATGAGCTGGATTACCGAGGTGAAGCAATCACTCACACAACCACTGTACGATACAGGCAAGTACACGCAAGTAGTGACGTCACTACTTGCGTTTACGTTGATTTTTTGGTTTACTAATACAACCCTATTTCACGATCTGCTACACCTCTATCTGTACCTCATTGGGTGAAAAGGACAAGCGTCTGATGACGGTCAAACAAGCCCAGAAGTATTTGTTTTGTTTAACGTTTGAAATAGAACGGGTGCTTACGCACACAGTTTGATCTATTTTGGCTTGATCTATTTCATTAGCTAAAGCTCTTTAGTAAAAGTATGGACGACTGTAAACGCAAAACTGAAAAAAAAGTTGTTCTAATCGAGCAAAGTACGGTTCCATTGGAACAACTTTTGACAGACGGCCATACTTTTACTTAGAGGACTTTAATTTGAGCTGGTTTAAATGTGGCAAAATTTGAATCTATATCAGACCACCCCCCTTAAGGTATATCTTTTTATAGATTAATGCTCGAGTAAATAGTCAAATCATAACCAATCGCTTTGAACGTTAATTTATCGAAACTGATAGCTTGTCCACGTGATCTAATACCACCATCAGGCAGGTGGAATTTCCCCCTTTTACGTAGATTTTACTATTTACACGAGGATAGTTTTGCTGGAAGGAGATCAGTGGCCTACCGATAATTACTTGTGACAGCACTCACCTCAAGAGAGTGAGCCGCCCACGCATGCATATGGGCTGGCGAAAAGTATTATTGAGAATGTATGACTAGAATCAGTGTTCGGAAAAACTTATGTGTTGCCTTGTAAAATTCAACAGCGCAAAAATCAAGGATGAGTTTTCAAGCTCAAAAAAGTATTGCTTTATATTTTGAAGCTATTCATTGTTATAACTATTGTTTTGACATCAGGACATGGGAAACAACACACTTAGAAAAATTCATGTAAATTTAGGTGCTCTGAGAGTGACTTATACGAGCGTCAATTTTGACATAAAGTTGAGTCATAACGGACGCGAAACATAGCTCAATCAAATGTACTTTTCGTAGACGAACTATTCAATCTCGGAGCCCTTTCTGTCAAAGATGGATTCCGTCACGTGTAAAATTTGTTATTTCTAAGTGTGTAACATTATCCATAAGAATGTTATTGATTGACGTTCAAGCACTTTCTCTGAGTTTTATTTTTTTTTTTTTCCTTTGGCTTGTTTTTTCCGTCGATCTTGTTTTCCGTGCTGAGCACCAATGCTACCGACGTGCCAGGAAGGCAGCTCCCACACCTGGACCCTACCCTATCGACCCATCAACTCATGAACCGGGGACCAACGGCTTTACTTCCCTTCCGAAGGAAGGCGTGATCAGAGATGCTATGCCTCAGAACATCCCGGCGGTGCCGACTGGGATTTAACCCAGGCCTGCTGGGGTGAGAGGTAATCTTGTCTGAGTTTTAAGCTAGAATGATTTTTCGACGTTGTGTGTATGAATATGCATGAGAATCTCAAGCATGAGTTTTGTTTGTCGTATTCGCGCGCGAGTTTATTCTCTTAGAGCGATTTTCCGAACAGTGGGCTACATTAACTAAAAAATTAAAATATGAACAACTATCCTTTTTTGATAATTGATTTCTTTAGGAGGCGTTGAGCTAAGTAATCATATTGTCGAGCAGTTTTGGGACGACCTTCTACCAGTGATTTTACGGAAATGAAACAATCAATTCCAGATTTTAAATAAGACCTTATTTTCTCGAGGTTGTAGAGGAAAAAATGTTAAAATATTGTTCCACGTTAAAGTTCGAGTGGTAGGAAACGTCATTTTAAACTGCTCGAATGATGTGATCCATTGCATATTCGTTATCTGCATTACAGATAGAACCGAGATCAAAAATTTCATCAATTTTGGGGCACTGGAACTATTTTTAATAAGTACGATTACATCCGCAGAAATGAATAGAAGTTGAAAAACAGCGAAGGGCGACTGTACTCTAGTCAAACGCATACTCCTTTACCTAACTCATACGTTAATGGATGAGGGGACTTGAAGAATGTCTTCAAATCTACAAGAAAAAGAGTTTATCCAGCACTGGCGGGCGACATTGTGACAATTTAAAATTGATTGCATTTTTTTTTTTCAATAAAAAAAGAGTTTTAAAGAGAAAATCAAGCTTACAGCTAAAATTGTTTACTTCAAATAATTCTCAACAGCTCCCAACGCACAGGTTGAGCCGTAATTTCGTGCCTTATTCCACCTCTGATTTGCAAGCGGGTCCACAATCTTCAACTCTCATCTCGTCTCCGATCTTCCTGTTCCCATTCAAATCGAGAAAAGCTATCCCAAATGTCCACAAACGCTCACACAGACAATCATAAGAACTACCACTGCTGCCTGAAGTTGCTGCTACTAGTGAGCCGGTGAGCGGTGGACAACAAGGATGATACGCTCCGTCAAACCCTTTTATTTTTATTTCCTCATATAAAAATAAATAAATTCAACAACCGCTCACACTCTCCTTCCGTTTCTGCTTTATCCAAGAATCAAAGAGGTCCTATTCAAATTCCGCTCGTTTCGTTCCTCACTCACCCTCTTTTGCGTTGACCGCTCATTATCTTGTTCCGCGTTTCTGTATCTCCCGTACAATGAAAAGCGTTCCTCTAGGTAGTTGAAATCATTACGTAAGGACATTCCTTTTGTTCAACGACGACGTTCATGACGACGATGGCGTCGGCTTCCTAATGTTTTCACCGCGAGATCTATCTGAATACCAAAGAGAGGACCTGCTCGACTCGCTTCGCGCTGGGATTAAACCACATTGCTTCCCTACGCGCTACGGCGCGTATCCAGGTTCGGATCAGAAGGGCAGCGGAGGGAACGGTGGGACGGGATTTATAATTACAACTCGTCGCATGTAATAATTCCGCATAATAAACAACCTCTGTCCGTCGTCCGTCTTCATCGTCGTGCTCACCGTACCGCGGGGAAGCCAGGAAGGACGAAGGAAAAGTGTCATCCTTTGGCTTCGTAAAAAAGTGAGAAGAAGGGCTGGAAGAAAGTTTGCAGCTTGTTTTTATTTTTATTGTCCTGAACCACTGCGTGGAATCTCTCTTTCTCGCCCCGGTAGAAACTAGTCGGGTATTGTTCCGGAGGAATGGTGCGTGAAACTTGACGGACGAACGAGAGGTCCTTGGGATTATTGAGAAGTGCACGCGTGAACCGAACAGAATATCTACATTTAGGGGTGAAATAGGATCACTGGAGCGGACGCAGGAAACTCGCCGGAGAAAGGGGTGATGAGTTATGGGACTATTGGTCAGCAGAGCCGCGTCGATTGTTTGGTTGGTTGGTCAGTTTTGGAATTGGGATTAACTGTGGGACATGGGGTGCAATCATATTCCGTTGTTGACGAGTCTATCTTCCGTACAGCGTGGAAGGAAGCATCAATCATCGCACGGGGCTATCTTTCGTTTGACAGTTGCCCGAGGAGGGGCAGCTCAATTATTCATAATCCTTAAATTTGCCTCTAAATAAACAGAACTGCGTTGCGTATTGTTATTGGATGGAAACGATGGGAAACCAAAGTGCGTCGTTTGGATGGAAAACGGAACGGAACGGAAACTCAAGAAGCGATGTGTAACGGATGGGTGCGAGCGGAATTGATGGTGGGGTGTTGGTGAAGTAGTTCTCGCCATTGCGGTGGCCACTTCTTGGTTCAAACTAACCTGTGCTGGACGTACTGTAGCCCCGACTGTGATAGGGCGCCTGAGATATGTGCGTTCCGCTAAGCAGTCCATGCAGGAGAGGCCTGTGCTGTTGAGACGATTGGCTGAGACTACTGGCGAGCAGGCTGCTGGACGTTTGCGGATGATGACTGCTACCGTGATGATGGAGGTGATGGGACTGTGACGATGATCGTTGCTGAGGTGGCGGGCTTGGCGTCTGAGACGGTAATGGTATCTCGGTGTCCACTGTAACGATAGGAAAAAAAAAAGAACCTTATTATAGGAGAGCAGTCCAGTCAGTCTAGACATTCGAAGAACCGATTCGGTTTTATAGACTACGACTACACAATTGCAGCGTGGTGAACCGGACACGCCCCCTTGATTTATTCGAACGAGTCTTTGCCGGAACAGTGAAAATCCCCCTCCGCAATCTTCGCACTCGTTCCGACATTCTCATTCTGCCATTATCGTTATCATCAAATTTTATCATCGCTGCTGCATCCGTCATATTGCTGCGACGACACACACTTTGGCGCAAAGGAACTCAGGAGACGAATACGACGACGACGACGACGACGACAGTCAGACAGACAGACAGACTGTTCGCTAGTCTGAGGACTAGGACGGAGAAAGCGCACCCCTCACTCTCACTTTATTTGCCATCACATTATTTAGTAATAAAAGCGAACAAGTTCGTGACTTTTTGAGAGCTTTCGCTTTGACTGGTTGGTTGGTTGGTTGGTCTGGGACACGCGATCTGCAAAAGTCAATGCAGGCACGGTGGGGGTGCAGGTCGTTCTAGGGTTCGCTCTCGGCAGGAAGCAGCCCTGGTTCTGTCGCGTAATCATTGCAGACGACCGGAGAGTGCGACCCAAAACGACTTGGGGAAGAAGCAGAAGAAGAAGAAGGGAAACGATGGGTAATAAAGGAAAATATGAAGCGAAAATAAAATGCTCCGGCAAGGAAGGAAATGACCTCCGCTTATTTTTCCGACCGACGACGACGACGAGGACAAGGATGATGGGAATAAAGTATGCTGGGACACAAAGGGAGTTTGAGGTTTCCTTTACCAGCCGCCGACTCGTTTGATAAAGTAACGAGGATTCATCTGGTCGAACGATGGAAATTGGTTTGCAATTAGTGGGATAATTGAGGATCGTTTTACTCGTTGGTATGGAAATTAAGCAGGGCTTAGTAATTTGTTTGAGGGGCAGGATTTTGGCGTGCGGAGTGTGAAGTTGGTGCTCATTGCTTGGAATCAATTTTTGGCGAAATTTACGCTTAATTGGATTGCGTCTCGTCTCCGTTGGTCCAGGTCAGGGATAATGGGTCGGTTTTGTTGCATGGCTGTAATTGAAATTGTGTTCATTATTCTCACTTATTTCAGCTCAACAGGTAGCTTGCGTCGATGAGTTCGGAAAATGTAACATTCCTCGCGTCACATTTGCAAAGGGCCTATCCTCGCTGATCGATTCTCTTCATCGCCTTTCTCTTTGGTTTACCACGGCAACATAAACGAATTTCTCTCTAAGCTCGCAGCACAGCATAATACGACAGAAGATGATGTTAGCTTGCGCCTGAAACAACATACTCAATGGGAAATTCATTTGCAGTCGGATTATTCGCGAAAGAGAAAATCGATGAAGGGAATCGATCAACAATGATAGGCCCGTTTCTCGTGTTGCGCGAGGTTTATCCAACTTTGACCGGTGCTAGTTTGATTCTAAGAGGAAGAGGAGACAAGTGGCTTTTTACTCTTTTATCTATTGGCGTTGACGGCACCGTTGAAAAATCGTCTCTTCTAGCAAAAAATGACAGTATCTTTGGGAATTTTTGGTGGAGTAAAAAGATAGTACAAAAGCCGCCATGTTTCACGCACAGTCTGGCGTTTGCTTACGCGATTTTCCATAGGATTAAAGAGCTACAGAGTCGCCGTCAACACCAATATCTATCTCGATCTCTATCTTACGCACTTCAAATCGGCCAATCATGAGCTGGTTCGCGTTTGGCAGAAAGGTGGTTCGTTTTCGCCCCCGTACTGTCTCCTTTTCCTCTTAGGTTTGATTCTAAAATTGAATGATCTTCATTTAGAGTGCAGCACTTCATTATCGATATCTAGAGTAACATTTGAAATGGGCCTATGTCCAAAACGTAAACAAATTGGGTTTTGATACCATTCTTTAGCACTGCTTGATAGCTACTAATCGTGTAGGAAAGTTCCGCATAATCGAGAAAAATCATTAAAAATAACTCGATTTTCGAAATGGCCGATCAACGAAATTTTTCGATTCATTAATAGGCCCGCACGCTAAAACGGCCAACCATTCATTTATTTCATTTCATTCATAAGCCTAGTGACGTAGAAGGGCCGATGATTGAAAAATTTCAAACCAAAGCTAGGCCCTACTGCTTGAGGCAGGGCCGATGATTTGTTTTGAATTTATTTGACGTTGCGAAAAGGCTTAGCAAAGGGCCTACCATTTCTGATGACAAGCACAACGGCTTAACAAAAAGGGCCTATCCATTGAAAGATTCACAAAAAAGGCTTATTAATTTAAGAAATTATATTGTTATCGATTTTCATATAATTTTGAACGCTTTTCGCATATTTTGGATGTTGTATACTGAGATACAGTTACTATTGTTATTTTGAACAATATAAATGCCTAAAATACTTCAATTTTCTTAAATATGAATTGAATAATGACGGTCAAAATTTAAAATTCATTTTCTGGTTTGTTTACGTTTTGGACATAGGCCTATTTCAAATGTTACTCTAGATATCAATGTAATCAAGTGCACTGTACCAAACCACCGTCCTCTGTTCGAATGAAACCTCAGTCCATTCAAGTCGAAACAACGAACTCGTCATTTCGAATGATAACAGCAACCGGATGACGGTTTTTTGAAATCAGATGATTTTCCTCTCGAATACAGGATGAACATTGTTTTGAAAAGGGATAAGGTCTTCAGTTGGAATGCGCAATGCTCTCTGCAGAATGATAGTCAGCTTAAATTGAAATTAATTTGGTATTGATTCAGCCCCTTAACGCACATCATTCAAATCGGTGATGTAATTAATTCTATCGTACGTCATTTGCTGCTCTGAGTAGACAAACGAGGTGGAAGCATTAATATGGACCAACAGGTCTGTGCCATAAAAAGGGAGAGGTGGAAGCATAGCCATCGCTATCAGAGGTGGTACGAACATTGGTAAAGCGTGGAAACCGCAAATGGTCTATTTCGTGGTGGAGGAAGTTTTCTCTATCAAAAAGTAATTTTTGTATCCATGATGAATGGCTGTTCATGGCTATTCAATATGGAAATGTAAGCAATCGAATTAATAATCAAATCTAAAGCATTTTCAAGTCATTCTATCCTTCAATTCTTGTCATCTGAGCCCTGTATGTTTTACAGCCAATTTTCAAATAAATATCATCCTTTATTTGGAGGACACTCATATAGATGCTCATCAGTTGACGACGAATTCAACCATAAGGTAATCATCCGAATTTTGGCAGCATATTGTTAAAGGGCTCGAGCAATACATCAATCAGTCGGAGTATTGCGGATGTTTTCATTCAGTGTACATCTAAGAACCCCGCTAATAGTGATGCTTTGGATTGTTTACACTCCCATCCGAAACTGCTCATTTTCCTATCACGAAACTACTCATTTTTTTGCACTCATAAAACATCGTAAATAATGTCAATTGTACCAAGATTTAGTACATCATCTCGCGTGCTATTAATACAACCAGTGAATTTTATCACCGTGCAAGAAATATCGAACCCGTCACAGTCTCGCCCGTCTAATCGTGCATAATTTTCTCATCCCGCAACGGTGCCAGCCCAGCACACTACAGTACAATATGGGACGATGGAAGCGTTGTAACAAATTTTAATTACATTGAAATATGGTCGTCCGATTTTTTCGCTACTTTCCATACAACCCGCCGCTAGCACAGAGACCAAAGTGGACCCCGATATGGTCGTTAGCCGCCGACGACGATGTCGCCTAATCGCGAGGACCTTTTTCCGCTACTGCTCTGCCATTACTGCTATTATTCATGAATATGGAAATATGTTCCACGCGACATTGGGTCGGTGATGTGGCGGTAGGTGGCGTCACCGTCGCCGTCGTCGACGTCGACGAACTCACCGGAGAGCACAAAGACGGAATATGGTGCAATATAAATAATAAATAAATATAGGGGACAAAAAAAAACAAAGTTTGGGACGGGTCGCTGGCCGTGGCGCTGCTGTTCAAGAACAGGTAGCTACTTGTCGGAGAGATGGGAAAATGAACTACGACGTGTTAAAAAGTTACTAAGGACAACCGGCGCACAGAGGGTTATTTCTTCAATCTAGCTAGATTGATAGAAATTCATTCTAAATTGTTGTGGAGGCGAACCAGCCTCATACTGAAAGCCTCCTAAATAAAGATAAATCAACCAATCAATCTAAATTGTTGTATCAAAGGATAGAAGAACAAAGCTCAATACCTTTTTTTCCATTTTCAAAATTCTCACCGTTGTGGTTTTTGTATCGTGCAAGTTCGCTCGAAGTGATCGTTGTACTTTTCTTGACTCTGTTTGCTGTTGAGATGATTGAATCAAATCAAATAAAAATAAGAAAATACACGAAAATTTTAGTGCAAAATTTTGCATAAATTTTTGACTTAAACTTTATTTTAAATTTTCACGAGTGTTTTTCTTTCAGTGTAGTTGTTTTTCGATACCTTATTTTTATAATATACATTGTTTTAAAAACTAGGGACCTCCCTTAGCTCAATCGGTAAAGGCACAACTACAAAGCAAGATCATGCTAGAGGTGGCTGGGTTCGATTCCCGGTCCGGTCTAGGAATTTTTCGGGTTGGAAAATTTCTCGACTTCCCTGGGCATAGAGTATGATTGTACTTGCCACACAATTATACTAATGCAAAAATGGTACAAGCATCGAAAGCTCTCAATTAATAACTGTGGAAGTGCATCTAGAACACTAAGTTGAGAGCACGCAATAGGCTAATATGCCATAAGCAATAAGCTTGAAATGCGAGGAAGAAGAAGATGTTTTAAAAACTTCGTCCATAGACGGCAACTAAAATCGAACAAACACTTTTCGATGCACATGTTTCCGAAAAAAACTTCTTCAGAAAAGAAAAGACTCTATCTACGATGCAGGAAAGATTTTGTTTTGTTCGGGCCCACACTAAGTAGATAGAAATAAGATTTATGACGATTCTG